AAAGTATTTTTTTATTTTATTTTTTACAGCTGGTGTAATGGGGAAAAATAGAGTTAAGTATTTGCAATCTGATACAGTAGTCTATATATAAAAGTGTGTGGCTAACAAAACCCAAATGCTACTTTGCTCACTATCAAATTCCAAAAATATCAACAAAAACTAATTCCCCAGATTTCAAGACCACACAGAAGTTCAACCTAATGGTCTCAATGCAGGACTGGTAGTTGGAAAGTATAAATCTTTATAATTCTTCTTCTGAATTGCATGGAAATCGTACTTGTGTATAATAGATATACATTTGAAAACAAAATCTTACAAAGTATATTTTGATAGTTAATTTATCAATATTTCAAAATAAAACTATATAGAGTTGTTTATCATCTATCAAGTTTAAGTAGATATTTAAAGATAAAAGACGATTTAGGATCTAAGGATATTAATTAAATTCTACAGATTAAAAAACAACCAAAAAATCCCTAAGGATAGCATTAATACAAATAATTGGGCCAAAGCTATTTAATCTGATTCTGTTTTCTTTTTCCACAAAGTCATTTAAAGTTATTAAGTTCATAAGTGGCCTCTAGGATATAATGAACTTCAGAGAACCTTTTCTTGAGAAGCTCAAATAGTTACACTACCACAATGACATAGAAATGCTATAATTTCTGCAACTGAGTAATGTAAAATAAGGGTACCAAATTTAAAAGTTTAAGTTGATAGAGCAAAGTATCACTTGAGTTATAATGACTGCTTAGCTTTTTTAAGTAATTACTTTAAATCATTTTGATACATTATATATTTAAGATACTTACAAGTTAAGAGTAATACAGAACTAATTTGCATGTTCCATAAAAATTGAGCTAGTGGAGTAACCATGTCAAATTCTAGTATGAGTTATCAAGAGGTATAAAAAAACATCTTTCACAGGAATCGCCCAAGAAACATACTTAGGCTCTGTTTTCCCAAACAGCTTAATGAAGGAAAAAAGCAAATGAACCAATCACAAAAAGAAAGATGCGGACTAAGTAAGTTACCTCACATTTTAAGCATAACTAAGTAGAGTTCTGTTATTCTCTCTCATCTTTATAATGCTGACTACAGTCTTCTTTTAACGGTAGCATCTGAAGTTGTCACACTAAGTGCCAACCACAGATACAAATCAGACATTCAGTAAGAATTAAACAACCCACTCCTCACACCTAAATGGCAATAATCTTTTGCATTATATAATGCTGCGGTGATGCCTCAATGACATGTTACAATGGGATCAAAGAGCTACAACTACAGCTCTGCTTTCTTTTTCTTCCAGAGGATAGAGTACAATAGCTCTCAATGATTAATATTTAGATTGAGAGCGAACAGCATCCTGGATGCCAAAAGACAAACGCAGGCAGGGGCGTCCCCATTCGGCACCCAGGGACTTGGCGCAGGTGGAGGCTCTACGCTTCCAGAAAAGGGGGCTCCTGCCGGGGTCCCCCGGGTTAGACCGCTAAAGGTGGAGGCCAACTGCAACCTGGGGAGCTTTCCTTCCTATCATTCCCAGGGCAGTTGGCAGGTCAAGATTTTTCCTGTTTTGCTCCTTTCGAAGGAATTCTAGACGCGACCCTGCCGCGATCTGTTTGGCAAGAAGGTGGAGGGGTTAGGGCCGAAGGGGTGAGAGGAGCGCGACTGCCGTGCGCACTCGTCTCCCCACCCTCCAGGGCACGTAGACGGCCGCGGGGGACTCCGCCGGTCCCTCCGGGCGCCGCAGCGCACGCACCGAACACGCGGTGGGTCCGGCGCAGACTCGCGGCGATAGGCGCCCACCACGTAGGTTTAATTGGGGGGTCGGAGGGAGGGGGCGCCTCCCCCCAGCTCGAGCCTGGGAGACCCGACCCGCCTCCTTCTCCTCTGGCCGCCCAGCAGAGGAAAGACTCAAGAGTGGGGGGAGGTGGTACCTGGAGATTTTACACTTTTTGAGGCCTCCGTCTTCCGCTACTGCCGCTGCCACGCCAGACGATTTTCTCTTCTTCTTCACCGGCATCTTCCGCCCTCCCCGGCAGGGCGGGCAGGGGAGCCGGGGGAGGGGGTCGCTGTCCGCGGAAGGCCCCTCAGTGCTGCCCCCCGGATCCCAGAGACAGCAGCAAGCGTAGGAGCCAAGTCTCCAGCCCGCACCGCAGCTGCCCAGCCCGGCCGCGGGCCGCCCCCTCGCCTCCTCCCGGTCTTCCTGTGCTCGGGGCCGCGGGTCACTGCTCACCGGTGGACACTGCGGCTGGGTCCCTCCGGGCAGGGAGGACGCGGACTGGCCGGCACCGCCACCAGTCACAGACTCCGAGAGCAAGAGGCTCAGCCTGACCCGGATGCGCCTCGCCGAGGGCCGGAAGTGACGCAGCGCCGAGCTGGTCGCCGGGAGGGGCGGAGCTCTGGTTGCTATGCTTTAGCGGCCTCCGGCTGGAGGACGCCAAGTACCGGCCCGGACGGGAGAAATGGGCCTGGTGAGCCCTTTGACCGCCTCGGTGGCCTTTCTCGGGAAACTTCCACACCCCCCGCCGCCACCCAATGCTGGTAAGTCACCTCCAAGAAATGTTTTATGAAACCACTAATACTTTGTCCTTAAGAATAACTTGGTAAGGTAAACCAAATTTCACTTCTGAGCTCTTCCATTCACTCGGTAACCTCACGTTCATTGTTACTTCTTAAATGCACGTTTTCTTTCTGCGCTGGCTGGCCGGCCGGCAGCCGCCCACTCTCACACCCCTTCATTGTCCCTCACCCCTGTGCCTTGTTAAAACTTAGTTTTACATTTCTCACCTGTCACATAAGAAACAGTAGGTAGACGTAGTAAAGAGGAATTTGGGGAGCATTTCTAAGGGGCCTTCCCTCAAACTTTTACCCCAAACACCTGTAATGACTCCACCATCACTTCAGTGAAAAAGGTTGTTGCATATAAAGATTATATAGTAGAAAGTCGCTTAGGTCAATATATATGTAAAATAAGTTAACATCTGTAAACCAAAGTGAGTTTATAGAGAAAGAGCCTTTAAATTCAGTAACAGCCCATGTGGTTCTAGTGAGATGACTTCCACCTGGGCACTCATTTGGACAATCAGAATATCCTATTTCCTTAGGCCATTAATTGGCTCAGAAGGACATCTGATCCAAACCAGGCCCATCAGTGCTAATGACATGAAAATGAACCATCAGGAATCAATTTATTTCCTATGGACTTGACCTGAGAGGATGCAAGAATAAGCCAAAACTCAGAAAAGACCAGAATCAAGGAGAAAAATAAAACAACAAAAACAAATGATTTTCTGGTATAAGGCCTGAGTCCATGATATGCCCTGAAAATATGAGTTACATGAGCCATTAAAACTCACCGTTTTGCTTATGCAATACTCTGTTATTTACAACCAAAAGAAGGTTGTTCCGAATGCTACTGTAATTCTTCAACTCAATTAAAAATGCATGAGACCAGCCCTGACTGGTTTGGCTCAGTGGATAGAGCGTTGGCCTGTGGACTCAAAGGTCCCAGGTTAGATTCTGGTCAAGGGCATGTACCTTGGTCCCGAGTGGGGGGTGTGCAGGAGGCAGCTGATTGATGTTTCTCTCTCATTGATGTTTCTCTCTATCCCTCTCCCTCTCTGTAAAAAATCATTAAAATGTACTTTTTTAAAAATGCATGAGACCAAAACATCAAATCTGAATAAAATCCAGTCTCTAAAAAAAAATACCATCTATATGTAGGGACAGTGGAGCATGTTAACACTCAATGCAATAAGCAAGATCTAGACTGTCAGAAATTCTACAAGAAAAAATGACCCAGATTCTGCAACAAGGTATTAGAGAAGGAAATTTTCAAGGATATATTAATCATTTTCCATATTTGAATCTTGAGTTTAAAAAATGTTGAATAATATGACACAGGACAATTGGAAATTTGAAAACTAGCTGAATATTTGATGAAATTCTAGAACAGTGGTTCTTAACCTTGGCTGCACATTAGAATCACCTGGGAAATTGGAGTTTAAAAAGATTCCCAGGTGATTCTAATGTGCAGTCAAGGTTGAGAACCACTGTTCTAGAACAAGCAAAACTTACAGGGCAGTATATCAGTAATGCTTGGGGACTAGGATAGGGTGGTGATAGAGGGAAAAGTCTGACTGTAAAGAGGCAAAGGGAACTATATTGGATAATAGGCATATTCTATGTCTTGTTGAGGTAGTGGTATATATACTTGTCAAAGCTCATTGAACTGTACAATTAAAGATATATGCCCTTATCATATGAATATTATTCCTCAGTAAGTTGAAATAAAAAGTGCAATAGCCCCGCCAGTGTGCCTTAGTGGCTGAGTGTTGACCCAGGAACCAAGAGGTCACAGGTTCAATTCCTGGTCAGGGCACATGCCCAGGTTGTGGGCTCAATCCCCAGCAGGGGGTGTGAAGGAAGCAGCTGACTGATGATTCTCTTTCATCAATGTTTCTATCTTCAAATTTCCAATCCTTTGTAATAAAACCCTAATATGCAAATTGACCAAACAGCCAAACTAAGGCCAGTCGCTATAACGTGCACTGACCACCATGGGGCAGACCCTCAATGCAGGAGCTGTCCCCGGTTCTGTGTTGAGCTTCTGCCCCCTGAGAGGGAGGCAACCAGCAGTGGTGGGGGCGGGGCCTGCCAGCAGGCAGTACCAGGCCACCAGCCAAGGCGGGTGCCAGCAGGGGCTCCCCGATCGCCCCACCTGCCGGTTGCCCACCAGATCAGCCCTGATCGCTGATCAGGCAATAGTACTACTGCCTCAGAAGGATCATGTTATGCACTACTTTTTATAATCAGGGCAAAAAAAGGTAGCTGCCCATACAACAGCAAGATGCCTTTCACCTGTATGAAAAGTATGGTCACTGGTGCATGCAGCATCCTGGATTGCAAGAGGGATATCTGCCGGTTGTTGGACATCACACGAGAGGTCCTGGATTGCGAGTGGGCGTAGGCTGGGCTGAGGGACCCCGCCTCCCCTGCAAGAATTTTGTGCACTGGGCCTCTAGTTGTCTTATAAATGTCATACTATTCAATGTTCCTCTCCCTTTAAAAATCAATAAGAATATTTTTAAAGAGCAAACAAATATACCCCAAATAATGACACTATTAGACATTAACAAAGCTTATTTCAAAAAGTGAGCTATAAAATCTAAATATCCCTTTTCACAAATAGAAAAGAGAAATGGAATAAAAATCTAAATGATGAAGACAAAGACCTGAGAGGACAATGTTCAAGGGATAACCTTCCAAAGAGCAGAATTAAGGTTGAATCAAGAGGTAAGGAACCTTTACAAAGCCTGTCTAGCAGGATACCAGCATTGCTGTGGCCCAGTGACTATGTATATCCTCCATTCTTTTCTCAATAGGAATATTTATTGTGATTATTGTGTCCCTTCTCCACTGTTATTGTAAGAGAGTGGAGAGGCCACTTCTAGACTAGGAAGAACCACTTCTAGACTAGGAAGAAGACCCAACCACACCTGGAGACTCTGGAGATTCAACTGAATGCAATGACTGGATGGGAGCCTACTTGCACCTATAGAATTCTCTGGAAAAAAGGTAAAAGACTGGTTCTTTGTATGGTATTCATTCTTTCAGTCTATTATTCAAATAATGTTTAATGATCACTTAAAATTAGGAAATGTTTTTGGTTTAGGTATATAAAAGGCAGGTATGACTCTTGCATTCATAAAGTTTACAGTCTGGAAAGGGAAGTATATGCAGCCCATATGCATTTGAGAACAAAGAATAGGGTCAATAATCTGTGCTTGTCAATGATTATAAAGGGATGGTGTTTTCAGTCATATAGATAATTTTCTTTACTGTTTTCCCTGATTAATACCTACTGTCACCACCATACCTTCATTCTCAAAATGGAGCATTCCATAACCCTAATTACGCTCAATACAAACTATGTATTGAATATATAAATTAATAAATTTTAGGGCACTATATCTGGTTGCTTTGATACAGATACCAACTGTTTAAAAGATTCTTTTCATAACTTCATTCTATAATGAAGGGACCTATTGGTAGCATCACTGCCTGTGAATAGCACAGAAATGTTTAGTTATGTGGTTTTAATCTTATCTGCTGCTCATAGGCATACAAATAGGGTATTATTTTTCACCAAGAAGGCACCTATAACGGGGTAAGAAACTATGACAGAGTACTATAGTTCTTTGTTGTGTAGAAGAATTTTTTAATGAAAGTAATGAGAAGGGAGGGATAAAGCATTTATTTAACCCCTAGAGTGCCGGGGAGCGCAATCGCGCTCTTCCTGTCTTTTGCCAAAAGTGCCTCCTCCTGCAGTATCACTATTAGATGCTAGTAGTTCACTCTTTATTGACAGATGGCACCTAAGTGCAGATTACTTATGATGCCGAATGTTTGTAGTTCTAAAATTGACCACTGGCATTTATCTGCCTAATTTTTTGCAGGTACTACGATTTTATGAAGTTTACTCAGATTTTGTAGCCCTAAAGCTTTGAAATGGCATCCAGTTCCAAGTCTCCTTTTATTAGTGATGATGATATCGCTAAATATGTCAGTTCTTGCTGTGAAGATGACGATTTTGTGGAAGATATTGGAGAAGGGTATCCCTCTGGAAGTGATCAAGAATGTCCCATCAAATCAGAATCGGAAAGTGATTGCAGTGACGTGTTTGTCCCTCTGAAACATAAACGAGTCCCAGTAATAATTGAAAGTTCAGACAGTTACAGCACATGTGAAAATGTTGAAGATTTACACAATTCTAGTTTTCCTGTATTTATTGAAACACAACCTGGCCAAGATTTATATGTGCAGTCTAGTCTTTCTTTCCTAGAATCACTGGGTCCGAAGCATGCTCCTCCCCAGGATGCCAAACCTATAGAATATTTTGACATGTTTTTCACTTTGGCTCTGTGGAATCTAATGATGGCTGAAACTAATAGGTATGGACATCATTTTTTGCGTTCTCAGCAGCAAGGATCACCCAGTTCTAGAGTCAGACAATGGAGGCCTGTAAACGTCCTTGAAATGAAAGCATTTGTGGCTGTGCTGTTGGAAATGGGAATTACACAAAGGCCTACCATATTCTCATACTGGGATAGGAATAGTAGAGCCATTCCATGGTTTGGGAACGTGTTCTCAAGGAATAGATTTCAACTGATATTAAAATTTTTTCATCTTGTTGACAATGAAAAACTGTTTCCACCAGGTCATCAGAATTATGACCCTGCTCTAAATTTATCCCCCTTGTTGAGCATGCAAATAGGTTGTTCAGTTTTCATTACCCCACCAGCACTTATCCATTGATGAGTCCCTAATACAATATCTTCGAAATAAGAAGCACCACAAGTGGGGGATAAAGTGTTGAATGTTGTGTGACTCCGTTGTACATTATTGTTTAGGTTTTTTCTGCTACGAAGGTGCAAAATGTGAAGAAAAGGCTGAGATAAAAAAGAAAGGCCTTTGTCATGTAGTAGTGACCAAGTTGCTCCAACTTGGGAACTACCTAAATGAGGGATATGTAGTGATTGACACCTTCTTTTCCAGTATTACTCTAGCAAAGTATCTGTTTGAAAATGCAACTTACCTCACTGGAACAATAAGATCTAACAGGAGGAGCCTGCCAAAGGATGTTACAGCAGATTATGATATAGGGCAAGTCAAATATTTCTGCAGTGATGAGATTCTTTTGTGTGGATTTAGAGAAAAAAATCTTAAAAGAAACCAGTGTTGCTTCTTTCAACCCCATGCCGTTGCTGAGAATGAAACATTGCATAGAAGATGATATTCCCAAGAAAGAGAAATATCCAAACCAGCAATAATAAACCAGTACAACAAATTCATGGGAGGAGTAGATGTATCAGATATGATGCTTTACACCTACCTAGATGAAAGAACTTTGAAGTACTGGAAAAAGGTGGTTTTCAGTATCTTTGCTAGGATGGTGTTAAATTCTTATATAATATACAAAGAGAACACGTCAGGCAGAATTATGTCCCGTATCCAGTTCACTTCATCCATTATACAGGCAAATTGAGGAAGAATGGCTGGCAGAAAAGAGTAATAACTCAATCTCATCGGTACCAATGAAACAAGCAGATGATGCATTATTGCGAAAATTGCCTGGCAGAAATCTAAGAAGGTGTGTAGTATGCAGCAACAAAGATGGAGGACCTGTAAAACGATCCAACACCGTGTGTGCTAAGTGTGGGAAAGGGCTTCATGGACTATGTGTAGGAAAGCACAGCTGTTAATGATTCCACAAACAGTCTCCCTACTCAAAGTATTTTTTTATAAAAAGATTGAAATTTTTGTTCTGCAATTATCTATGAACCTAGAAGGAAGATTTTTTTGTGCATTCAAAGAATATACTAAATATTTTAGATTTTTTATCAAAATCTTATTAAAAGTTAAACAGTATCTTCATTCATGTATTCAAAGTCAACAAAATTTTTTATTTTAACATGTTTTGTTCAAATTGTTTTTACTACTAGTTTATAATACAATCAGCAAACAAGGTATGTCAAAGATGAAAACAAATGTAGTAAAGTTTCCTTAAGTGTTTGAATATGTAACTTCATTTACTTGCGATTCATAATTTTTTTCCTAAACTGCTGTAAAATCATCGAACATGCCTTGGCAATTTTAGCATAGTACCTAGGATATTGGTTGGCCCTCAAAAGATTAAAGCAAAAACTCAGGTGTTCTGGTTTCATATCCAAAGAAGATACTCAGTGATTTTAGGTAGGATACATAACTTTTATCCCTCGTTTTATCCTACTGTTACAGAGAAGGATGTGGAAAAAATAAATATCCATCTATAAAGACAGTGGACATATGTTTATGTCAGATAGGGCAGAAGGTGGAAGAACTGAGACTGAACATAGTTTTGTCATCTATTTTATATATTGGATATTCCTTAGCTTTTGGGGGGTTATAGAATGAAAATATTGAGAAAGATCTTTTAAAATAATTGTATCTGTATCAAAGCAGCCAACAAATATAGTGCCCTAAAATTTATTTATATATTCTATACAGTTTGTATTTTCTTAATACCTCTTTAAAATATGGCATTTCCACTTGCCAGAAAAACAGGCAACACAGAATTTCAGTGATTTATGGAATTCCATGTTATATGGTCCTGAATTTATATAAATACTTTCCATATATTAACCCTGGTGAAAATTTTGTAAAATATTCCCATGCACATAAACCCTGAAAACGAAGACTAAGAGAACAGTAGAAATGGGATGTTTTGGAGCATTAGTAAAGTCCACAGGAATTCCTAGTGTTTTAGAGAAGCTCAACAGTGCAGAACTATGGAGCACATGCCATGTGCCCTTTACATCTTAAGCAGTGTGCTAGAGGACCCTTATGGCAGCCTGACAGTGGCTGTGGTTCACTCGGGGACCCAGACTGAGGAGTGACCACTCTCTGGAACATTGCTTGTTATCGTGATGAAGGGCAAGGAAAACATGGTGAACCCCATGCTGGCTGTTAAAAGTTCTGTGCTGAAATGACACATACCACTTCTACATCCAATCAAGATAGGAATGTATAATCCTTTTGCAGAGAGAGGCATCAAATAAAGATAAATACAGTCCACAATAGTATGGGATTGGAACACAATTTTATTGAAGATCCAGGGAAGAATGAGTTCACAGAGCAGTTTTAAAGGGATAGTAGGGAAAATTATAAGATTGGTGTCTGCTTATACTTCACATTGACACATTGTATTTTCCAAAGATGGTCACAATGATCTTTCAATCCTCTAGTTCTAGAACCATACCACTCCCTCTCAGTAAATGGAGTCTTGTTAATAATAGTCATCATCATCCTTTATCATCAATGTTGGTTCATTGAGTCCTATACCATACAAATGTAAGATGTTAATAGAGGAAGCTGGGTGTGAAATATGTGGGAACTTTCTGTATTATTGCAACTTTTCTGTAAACCTCAAAGTATTCTAAAATAATTTATTTTTAAAAAGTCAAAGTGAACAGAAATAAATAATTAAAAAATAGAGTGCAGGAAGAAAGAGTAATAACTCAAGAAAACCACCTCTGCTGGGTGCTTTGAAAGGTCAGAATTCATAAAATTCTAGATGTGGGATCATAGGTAGGAAGCATTGTCTTGTATATCAAGTGCCCAACAACAAAGCTGAACCCTTACCAGGAGGACTAAGAATTGTTGCTGGACACCTGATTTGCCTTGCAGCATATGAATATATACCCCAAATGAAGGAAAGTGGTTCACAGGATCAAATTACTACTGGCAGAGAGGATGGTGTATTGATGACTTGCTGCAGAGGAAAACTGTTTTTAGATGAGTGTTAGGACCAAGTGAGTGCAGGTAGTTTGTGTTTAGGTGTGTGTTTCTTAAAATATATTTTTATTGACTTCAGAGAGAAAGGAAGAGGAAGAGAGAAACATCAGTGATGAGAGAAAATCATTGACTGGCTGCCTCCTGCACGCCCCCCACTGGGGATCAAGCCCACAACCCAGGCATGTGCCCTTGACCAGAATCGAACCTGGGACCCTTTAGTCCACAGGCTGATGATGCTCTATCCACGGAGCCAAACTGGCTAGGGCAGGTGTGTTTTTATAAGCATTTTCATAGTCTTAGACTAAGATGGGTGTTGTTTTGTCACACTTTCCAAATAACATTGGAAGGATGGCATTGTGGAAAAGGTTTCTTAAAGTAAAAACTTTAAGATTGATGGATTTGCCTTTCAAAGTTTTGCAACCTTGAATAAAATGTTTTACCATCTGTGTAATAAAATATATGCCTTAGCTAGATATCACAGTACTGTACTATTGAAATATAATAAATGTGAATGTGTTATCAAAACTAACTGCTAAGGGGTATATAATTATTTATCAGCTGTAATCCCTGGTGTACACCCTACAAAAATCATGTTCTTCTAGTCTAGAAAGAGTTTATTTAAGGTTGTTCACAGAATCAAAGGATGGAATTGCAAAGAAGGGGACATGGAAAAGAGGTGACTTACTGTTTTCCATTCCCACTCAAGTTCTGGTAATGGGACTTTCCTTTCCTATCACTATTACCTTTATTAAATGTCAATGGCCCTGTCTTTGTTTCCAGGGATCTTAACCAAGTTCTCCACCATTGAAAATAGGATTGTCTACACAGGCCAGTTTGAATGAGACTCAGCAAATTCTTAGGTATTGGTTAGGCATTACTTCTTTGGAAAATCCAAAGGTGACATGTGGGCAGTTACTGAAATCTCTCGCTATGCAGCACAAAGCAGATTAGTTCACCGGACTGTAGCAGAGGCAATGATTCCTAGAAAGACAGTAAATGATCTGCAAATTGTCTTATTTACTCAGCACCTACCCATATATGGCTGTGGTCACTGGCAGTTGCAACGTTGACATTTCTTAATGGCTTTTCCATGTGTTCTTTTACAGATCTACTCCCTCACCTATAGCTTCACAGAGATCTCAAGTTTGAGAGTTTGAGCCCTATCCAACTCTTGAACCCCTTCCTAGCCAAGATAACATTCAGTTGTTAGGGCATAAAGGTGTGCTCTGCTTTCAGGGCCTGTACTTTCTTTTTTTAATATATTTTTATTTCAGAGAAGGGAGTGGGAGAGAGATAGAAACATCAATGATGAGAGAGAATCACTCATCAGCTGCCCCCTGGCACACCTCCTATTGGGGATCCAGCCTGAAACATGGGCATGTGCATTGACTGGGAATTGAAACATGACCTCCTGGTTCATAGGTTGATACTCAACCACTGAGCCATGCCAGACAGGCTTAAGTATTTTTTTTTTTTTTTTTAGTCCTCCCCAGAGGATATTTTTCCATTGATTTTTAGAAAAGAGTGGAAGAGAAAGGGAAAGACAGAGGGAAACATTGATGTGAGAGAAACAAATTGATTGGTTGCCTCTTACATGCGCCCTGACCAGGGCCCGGGCCAGGGAGAAGCCTGAAACCGAGGTACGTGCCCTTGACCAGAATCGAACCTGGACCCTTAGGTCCGCAGGCCGACGCTCTATCCACTGAGCCAACAGGCAAGGCCTGCAATTTAACTTGCAAGAGCCTTCTGGTCTTCAAAGAAAATGTGGCTCATCAGAATCAAAAATTTTGGCTTTCAATTGCATTTTTTAAATATCATGGGGTTTCAAAGTATAGTTTCACAGTAAACAAAACAAAACAGAACAAAAAATTAACAACTATTTTTCCTTTCTGATTTTATAGTCAGTGCTTGAGGTAATGAGAATCACACTGACTTTAAAGATCATGAGTAAGAATGTGCAGAAAAGAAAACCACACAAATGTTTTTAAGATATTTTCCCCTATGGGCTAAACAATAAGAAAATTCTCAGACAATCTTCATTGAACTCCACATTC